TTGGGTCCATTCTGATTTATACTGGACATATTTTGACAAAGAAAAATAGAGTATTAAACTAATCATCATTTGGAGCAGACCTATATAATCTAACATGTGACAAGTAATAACACAAGCATTTAGTGTAGAGGCGGGGTAGAAAACAAAATAAACTGAAAAGTCTCATTAAACAACAGTTCAAATAACCATGTCTTCTCATAAACTATTAAAGTAAGGACGTAGCAACTAAAAAAAGTCCATTCAAATTTTCTTGCACTCAAAAAAATGTCGTAGATACGACACCCTGCGCTCTTTGGCAATAGCTGTGAAAAAATCTCTTTGCACCGAATCTTGAAGCAGCTCAACAGCGAAGTAGTATAGCTCATCATCCGCTGCAATACTCGGATCCTGCTCTAGAATAGCCACGACCTCATTAATTGATGTTTTCTGTACTTTATGGGGGGCATCATTGGAAGAATCCATTAGGCATGATATCTGGTTTCTGATTGTGGCAGCTCCACCCTTTTTTTTGCTCTCGAACCTAGATCGCTTAGAGCGATTCGTAGATTGAATCTCAGTTGGACCTGCACTTGGAAATTCAGGTGAATCATCTGATAAACTGACAGCAACATTGTCCTGTGTTTCACCAAATCCCGTCTCGCTTGGAGCGCATGCATATTTCCCTGTTGCAACGACACCCCCGAACATTTGGTCTAACTTCTCCTCCAACTCAGGTTCAATCCCACATGTTTTATACTTTTTAGCTGCTGGAACCACCTGGAACAAAAAACCCAAATCATTTTGTTCAGTCCTGAAAGAGAAGTATATTACACAAATTATGAAAAATAAAATTTACTTACCGCGAGCCTCTCTGCCCACCACTCTTCCGAAGCATCAATGGTTCGCTTTATTGGATCCCAACCCAAACCAGTTGAACCACGCTTTAGATCCTTCCAAATTTTCCAATCTTTCTTTAGTTGATCCCATTTGTTTTTCATTTGCAGCCTGTCGTACTCCCGTCCGGTGGAGTCTTTAAAATGTTTAATGATACTATTCCAACCTTCTTTGTTGAAAAAGGTTGTCGGTCTATTGCCCAGCTCAATTTCTTTGATACAGAGGTCGCAGAACAACAATTTGATTTCCTTTTCCCAGATTGCCGGTGAACCATGTTCTTTAGACTTACCAGCCATGTTACTACTACGACGAAGCAAAGATATGAAACACAACAATATAGTTTTCGATTAAAAAATTGATTAAAGAAAGTAAAAAAAATGAAAAAAGGACACCAAATGTTTACGTGGTTCGGTCAAAATGACCTACATCCACGGCAAAGGAGGCCACAACTTTATTATAGCATTAAAGAAGAAGATACAAAGCTTTCATTCATACAATACACCCTCCCAAAAGCATCAAAAAAACATAATGACTTGCAAATTTCTCCCTTCCCCTTCATTCATACATAGAAATGCAGTAGTAGCAGTTGCCAACACGCCCCTCGGATTCGTACTTCAGCAAACCCAAGCATAGAAATATTATAAATAAACAGTAAAGGGCAGCTGCTGAATATCTGAAGTTTCGGCTTCCGTAAAGCCAAGCAAAGCAACCATCACACTTCCAAAAATCAGGATCCATGAAAGCAAATTATAAAAATATCCAATCTATCAATTTGAAAGTTCTGCTTCAACAAACCAAACCAAAAGGATACCCATCTACTTTGAAGGTTCAACATTTTCAAAATGCAGCTCCACCAAACAATACCAAAATATTTAAATCCTCATAAATATTATCCATACGCAGCACAGGAAGGCTGCTGAACATGTGAAGGTTCGACTTCAGCAAACCAAAGCATAATATATTCAACCAAAGCATTTCAGAATAGCCAAGAAAGTGAAATGATGTAAAACATAAAACCCCCTAATAAATAAAGAAATGACAAATCTGACATGTTTAACAACTTAACATTCATATCTACATGCATGCCCCCCATACCTCTAAAATCATGTAAAAAATATCACCATAAGTACATTTTTAATAGTGAATACATCTTCCTCATTCATAGGTTTATGCCAGCAAGGTGTTACAAGAGTAAATGTAAAACTTTGGGCATTAGTTATGTAAATAAATAAGAATTATATGGTAAGTATATAAATTTCCCAAAAGAATATTGACATTTTTACCACAAAGTTTGTCCTAAACAACTTATCTATACTCAATATAATTCGTCTCCATAGACTTCTCAGATCTATGGTTTCTTACGCGACACTTAATTTGTTCAACATCTTTGACACACCTGGGGTTGTTGAACATAAGCAAAAATTGCATGCCAATAAAAAAATTATCTTGCTTCATAAACATAAAGTAATCTAAGTTATAATGCTAACTGAAATTTTTGTGAATCTCATGAAAGAGATTACGGTTTCATGAGTTCACTATTTAAATCATGGGAAATTTACATATGTATGACACAATTCTTATGTATTTACATATCTCATGCCTAAACTTTCATGTTTATATACATGTCACTTTGTTGCTTTAAATCAACGCATGTAAAGGTGTATTTCAATTTTGAATAAGTAATAATAGTGCTATTTTTTTTTACGTGACAATAAAGATTTGAGTGCTATCTGTGTAAATAGTTTAGGAATGAGATATGCAAATACATAAGACTTGTGTGCTATGTATGCTAATGTCCCTTAAATCATTTATGATACAAACCCTTGCATCCCTGGTAATGTATTTGGGATTTTATGAACATATTTAAATCCATATAAGTTCATGTGCATACCCAAGCAAAACAGGAAATCAAGCAAAAAAGGAAATGAAGTTCAAATTGGCCATCAACATGGATTTCTGTAGGTTCAGCTTCAGCAAACCCAACCAAAACAGGAAATCAAGTTCAAAAGCCCGGCTCCATCAAACCAGAGAATGAGAAATAAAGAAATTTCAATGTCAAGGAAATCAAGTTCAAAAGCCCGGCTCCATCAAACCAGAGAATGAGAAATAAAGAAATTTCAATGTCAAGGAAATCAAGTTCAAAAGCCCGGCTCCACCAAACCAGAAGACAAAAACGTAATTACCAAAGGGACTGCAACCCTGTTTTTTTTTTTCTGAGGAGCCACTTGCCAGATGGGGTTTTGGTGATGAATCAGAACATTTTACTTATAACACTATCTCAAATATAGTTGAACTTCTAATCATCTATAACAATTATGTATCATAAATTTATCAATGAAAAATGCATTCCACAGATAAACTTATGTACCCAAATTCCATCTAAAATTACATATTTACATACATACCACCCAATTCCTAGGGATTTACAAATCCAACAACAAAACTGTTTTACATTTATGCCACCTAAATCTTTCTCATCACAAAAAAGATATTGCCATCTTGACCTTCCTTTTTTTTAGTACACAGTACCAAGCATTGGTAATGTGCCATGTATAAGATGTATAGTTGCATAAGAATTGAATGGTATGTGATTCAATCATTCGTATTCCAATTATAGCAATGAGGTTATTAGGTTAAACAGGATTATTAGGAAATTTGTTTCTTTCAATCCCATGCTCTCAATTGAACAAACCAAAGGGACTGCTTCACTAAATCCAGGAAAAATATCTTTCCTTTTTTCTTTTTCCTTCACAAACTAATCACAAGTTATACATGAAACAAAGGAAATAAACCAACCCTGTTTTTTTTTCCTTCAGAAACTAATGAGAAGTTCTACATGAACCAAAGGAAAGAAGGCAATTTATATATTTTTAAAGGCAGCAGCTATAATTCCAAAGGAAACAATGCATTGAAGGATTGTGTAAATAAATTATTATTGGTGCAAAGTATGAACTAACCAAAGGGACTGCTTCCCTAAATCCAGAAAAAACCTCTTTTTTTCTTTTTTTTTCATTCACAAAGTAATCAGAAGTTCTACACGAACCATAGAAAATAAGGCATGTATGAAGAAACCAATTCATGTATGAACAAGCCAATTCGAACAGCACTTAACACGTTTCTGTGGGAAAACCACAAAACCTGCAAAGCCACAAAACCGAAATGCCACAAAACCACAAAACCGCAAAACCGCAGATCCGAAAAAAAGTACTGCAAGATCTACAACTTGGATGCTTCAAGAACTACCTAAAGCCATTCTTCGTTAAGAAGCAACAGATCCACGACAGGGAAGGAGGAGAAAAGAGAAATGACAGAAACAGGAAAGAAATGTGAAGGAGAAACCATCACGAACCGCAAAACGCAAATCCTTCGTCGGATCCTCAAAGAAAGAAGAAAATAGCTTGTATTACCTTATCTGTCGGTCGAGGGACGACGAAAGAGGAGAAGGAGAAGGGGACTCGAGGGAAGCAGCGGGGAAACAGCGGGAATCACCGAGGGTAGGTAGAGGGAAAAGGGTAAAATTTAGGTCGAAAGCGGGAGAAGCCACAGATATCCCGCGTCCAGCTTTCGCCCCGCTGCCGCCGCCAAATTGCCCAAAGTCGCGAACCAAACGGACAGCTTTCGCGAGAAGTCACGGCGGATGCCCGCGCCGCACCTAAAAAGTGCTCCCAAACATAGCCTTAGAGGTACTCCTATGGAAAGAACCTAAGGAAATGCAAAGCGTTCTCTTGGTTTCCCAAAGCTTCTAAAGGTTGCCCTCTCTTGGTTGGATTTTTGTCAAGCCTACTACAAGGATCCCGTATCTCGTACATCGTCTTTCTCCATCCTAGGTTCCCATGGTTCATATGTCGATCGTGTTTCCTGTCCTTTTCTTTTAGAGCATCAACCCAACTTGACGCCTTTTCGGTGAAAATAAGATGATTGCGCTCTAACTCACTCAAGAAAGGGACGGTAGAGGTCCGCCGAAAAGCTCGTTCAGATCTTGGACGCGGTACAATGGAATCCCGAAACACCACCACAAGTGTTATTGTGTGTGCACCTGTGGTGGGGTAAGGCACCACCTTGTTGTGCCAGCAGTTAACTCTGGCGTGTCAGCTTAGCGAATTTAGCTTGAAGATCGTTAATCATTCAAAAATTGATTTAAATTTTAACTCGGATCAAGATTGGATCGAAACATACAAGTCAAGGTATGAGCCAAAATTTTGGAACAAACTTTTTTCAAGCCGATTTTGAGCCGATCCTAGCTTAGCTCGAAATCAGATCTTTGACAGCCCTAGATACTTGTGAACTACAAATCTGTTTAAATAGGAATCCAGGCTGCTCAATCGTTTTAATTTCCTCTTCTTTGCCTCTCTTGTATTCTTACCAAACAGGTATTTCCCTGAGAATCTAAATCTGCTCCAACAAGTTCAAAATTTCAGGAAAAGCGAGTAACACTGGCTAGTTTGTACCCAACTACCCCTAAAAGCGTCACAAACCTACAAAAAACAACTCTAGCAAAATAGAAGAATTGGAAACTTAATTTTTTTAACATCCCTTTAACTGGAGCTTAACCCTGTTTTTTTCTCACATCTCCCATCTTGATTAAACATTAAAATTCCCTATCTTCTAGTTAGATTCTGTTTTCCAAAGTTTTCTCAACATTCATTCTACCAAGACCAAGCCCCGTAAAGTAGAAATATACAGATATACACAATTAAACCATTTAATTATGTTTAAGAGCATTGGCTATAATGTATTTACATATATATAACACCTAAACATTAATATTTATATTTATACCACCCATATCTTCCATGCCACATCAAATATACCACTAATTTAACATTTAAGAAGTAAATACGCCTTCATGCATAGGTAAGGTGGTGTGTAGGTAAAAATTAAACTTCAGGTGTTTCATATGTAAATACATAAGAATTGAGTGATATGCATGTAAATCTTCCAAACTTGAAGAAACATTTATGATTAAAATTGCTCAATATTCAAAAGAACCAGAATCAAAACCCGCTGCAAACAAAAGAACAGATCACCACAAATCAACGACTAAAAACCAAAGAACATACCTGTAATATCTCCTGTAACGAGGAGTAAATCGGGCCTGATGACCCGGATCGCTGACCCAAGAAGCCCAACTAAGTCTTCCGCGCGTTTGGGGTGGTAAGCACTGAGATGGAGATCGGAGACCTGGATGATCCAAGCCAGATCCCCCTCCATCGGGAAGAACTCCCTCGACACCAGCTCAGACGTGACGGCCGTCTTATCTGCAGAGGAGAAAAACAAAAAGGAAGAGAAGAAGAATGGGATGAAGAGTGGGAGCGGAGACGACGACGATATCGCCGGCGAATTCATTTTTTCAACTTTCCTCTCTCTGCGGTGCCCGGCGGAGAGATGATGAGGCGTGTCATTTATGAATTGATGGGGGCGGGGAATCGGATTCGGCTTTTGGGTTTTCGAATTTTGGTTGGGCTGAAGTCCGCTGAATTTTATTCCAAGGTGTTAATTTATAAACGACCTCAATATAAATATTTTTTTTATTGTGCTCATTTGACTCAAAATAATTAAATTTATTACAAAAATTTATAATCAATTAAATTTATTAATTAAAAAATAAAATAAATATATATTAAATTCTATTTAAATGAATATTTTAGTATTAATAATAAAATTTTTCTTACAATATTAGAGCTGTGTGATTTGAATTATCAAAATTATTCATTCTTCTGAAACAGTTTATGGTAAACTCGTTAAAAAAAATGAGCTGAAGACGACAAATTTTCTTAGCTTGATATATATAAGAGTCACACAAATAATAATAATTTTTAACAAGCCGAACCTGAGCTCCCTTAATGAGGAAAAATATTGGAATTATCACAAAAGAAATGCTTTTTAACAAAGATAAAATTCATGTGGGTCATTTACATACATAACATCTCAATCCTTTTTATGTATTTACTATTTATATATAAAAAAGATTAATAATAATATGTTAGAATTAGTTATCAAGATATTATATATTTATATAATATAAATTAAATAATTAATATAAGCCCTAACCCAACCGGGCCAAACCCAACCGGCCTCCCCTTCCCCTCCTCTCAAAATCGCGAAAACTTTGGGTTCGGCCGTCTCTTCGTCTTCGAGTCTTGGCCTTCTCCTCTCAAAATCGCCAAAGCTTTGCAGCTGCTAGAGCTTAGGTTTCTCGTTTGTGTTCCTTCTCTATCCTCTACTCCTATTTGTCTTCGAATGAATTGAACGCGAAGTCCACAGCCCTAACACGAGCTCTTAACAAAGAACGAACGAGGCCAGTCCCCGTCTGCCCCTTTTCCGCGATACCTGCGGGAACCGCGAACTTTGCCTGTCGACTAGGGCATCCGAAACCCTCGTCCTCCTCACCTTTCGCTTCAACCCAAAACCTCAGGCGAAAAGTTCCGACGGTCGCTTGCAGGCGATGAGCGACTGGTATGTATTCTTTCCTGGTCTTTCTCGCCCCTTCGCACGCTGCAGTTCTCTAAAGTAAATCCACCCACCACTCATATTCACTAAATCCGGGGTTTAGGAAAAGAAGGAGGAAAAGGGATTTAAGATTCTCTGCGATTTAAAACTAGTCACTTTTGCTGTTTGGCCGGATTTAGGTTAATTTGTGCTACAATTCTGCTACCAAACAGACCCCTAACTGGCTTCTTTGATCGCAGTGAGATTTGCTAGAGAATCAACTTTTCTCATACCGGTAGAAGTGGGTTGGGCCTAGGGCTCACTCTTCAGCTCGATTGCTGTCACCGAATTTACCACAGAATGGGCGGGAGAGCGGTTGTTTCTGATGACGAAGGTAAGTTGGTACCCGCTTTCTCCTTTCCATTCAGCGACTTTATGGAAAAATTAAGGGTTTCTTTCACTTGTTTAATTTAGATGAGATAGAAGAGGTTGGCGCGGAGGATCAATTTCGAGGCTCGGGCAAAGGTGATCTTGAGGAGAGGGATGAGGAAGACGACGAGGATGATGATGAAGGCAATTCTTTCTTCTCCTGTTATCCGCATGTATAATAGATTTATGGTCAGTTTTTTTGGTTTGTTTGTGGGAGGGGCTTCTAAACAGGCATTTTGTTTGTGCTCGACTATTGGTAGCAGAGGACGGACAGGATGAGTACGAGAAGGATGGGTTTATTGTGGATGATGTGGACGAAGAGGGAGAGGAGAACGACGAAGACAGTGATGAGGAGCGGCACAGAAAGAAGAAGAAGAAGAGAAGGTATGATACTTGTCCTTCTATTCCATATTTTGTTGAAGAATCTGTTTGATTTTATACGTGTTTCATTTTCTTTGGCCTGTCTACTATTTATGTTTATTATTTTTACCGCAGAGAGTCTGAAAGGAATTATGTTCTTGATGAGGACGACTATGAGTTGCTTGAGGATAATAACATCACTGTGCATCGGCCTAAACCTGTATAACACTTGATCTCCTAATTATTGCTAGTTTCTGCTGCTTTTACTATCTGCTAGGGTTAATCTGGGTATGCACTGAATTGATTGCACGTCATGATTAGGGTAGCAAATTCAAGCGCTTGAAAAAGGCTGGGCGTGGTTCAGAGATGGAGGAGCATTCTGGGTTCGCTGCCGATGAAGAATCTGAGAGGGCCGATCGCGGTGGCAGAACTGCTGAGGAGAAACTCAAGCGAAGTTTATTTGGTGATGATGAGGGTGTGTGTTTTAAACTTCGTTCAATCCACCTCGCATAATGCTAGTTTAGTATGACGTTTACAAGCTTTATATCATAATCTCAGGGGCACCTCTTGAAGATATTGCTGAAGAAGAAGAGCAACCAGAAGAAGAAGATGTGGATTTGATTGGTGATGAGGATGAGATGGCTGATTTTATTGTCGATGAGGAAGATGTTGATGAGAATGGCACCATTGTGAGGTATCTAAATCAATTCGTCAATAAGATTATTTTTTATATAATTTTGATTTCTTTTGCATTTGATTGACTATGCTTATTTATGCAATTTGGTTTTCTGTCACTAACTATAAGGCAATGTGTTTCAATATAGGCGACCCAAGGTGAAGAAAAAGAAATCCAAACAGGCCCCTGGTGTTTCATCATCTGCTTTACAGGAAGCCCAAGAGATATTTGGCGATGTTGATGAGCTATTGATGCTTCGTAAGCAAGGGATGGCAGGTGGTTCTAGTGAATGGGTGGAAAAGAGACTGGAGGATGAGTTTGAGCCTTTCATTCTCTCAGAGAAATACATGACGCCAAAAGATGATGCTATAAGAGAAACTGATATACCCGAAAGGATTCAAGTAATCCAATAAACCCCATTGCTCATATACGATTACATTTTTGTTACCAATTTTGGTTTATTAAGTATTGTGTTGGGATTTTTCTTCAATGCAGCTAATGGAGGACTTTACTGGGCCTCCACCAATCGATGACAAGAGTATTGAAGAGGAGAGTGCCTGGATATACAACATGCTCAATAACTCTTTTGTTTCACCTCTATTTGTTCATGATCAGCTAGTGAAGGACATTGATAAGGAAGATATCGGACGTGTTTTGACAATGGTGCATGTTCAAAAATTAGATGTAAGTTTTAGGTTCTGTTGGCTGGAATTTTCTTAATTTGTCTTCCAGGCATAATTTTGCTGTTAATCTTTATGATCCCATCCAGATTCCATTCATTGCTATGTATCGGAAGGAATTTTGCCGTAGTCTCTTGAAAGATTCTGAGGACGCGCTTCAAAATGACGACGGGAATACTCCAATGAAATGGCATAAGGTAGGCAAGTTACATCAATTTAATAAGATTACTAACATTTCTCTTTATTGGTTGTTGCTAGATGTTGAATAATGTTCTTAGTAGATTCTGTCATGTATTGAAGGTTCTTTGGGCAGTGCATAGTTTGGACAGGAAGTGGTTACTTCTTCAAAAGCGCAAGAGTGCTCTTGAAATGTACTACTCCAAACGCTTTGAGGAGGAAGCTCGTAGGATTGATGATGAAACCAGACTTGCGTTAAATAGACAAATCTTTAGCTCTATCTCTGAAGCTCTTAAGGAGGCAAACTCTGAAAGAGAGGTTGATGATGTTGATGCAAAATTCAACCTGCATTTTCCTCCCGGTGAAGTTGATGTAGAAGAAGGACAGTTTAAAAGGCCGAAGAGAAAATCCTTGTACAGCATATGCTACAAGGCTGGTTTGTGGGAGGTTGCTAACAAATTTGGTTTGAGTTCCGAACAATTTGGATTGCATTTTTCATTGGAAAAAGTGGTTTGTATGCTATACTGGTTTTTTTTTTTTTTTTCCAAATACATAACAAAGAATGATATGTTAATCTGCATCATGTATGCAGAGGTTGGAAGAGTTGCAAGATGGAAAAGTAGCTGGTTTTTTTTTTTTTTTTTCCAAATACATAACAAAGAATGATATGTTAATCTGCATCATGTATGCAGAGGTTGGAAGAGTTGCAAGATGGAAAAGTAGTTCCTGAGGAAATAGCTAGAAATTTTACTTGTGCAATGTTTGAGGCGGCACAAGATGTGCTCAAAGGTGCCAGACATATGGTATTTAATCTTATATTGAAACTTTTTCTTTTCCTACACTGGCTTACGTACATATATGATCAGGAATTCTGACTTCCCCTCAGAACTTGTGTAATCTTTACAAACTGATCAGGGATGTGAGGTTTATTTTTTCCTATCTCATTTTTGCTGTACGATATTTTTATTGTTGCAGGCAGCGGTAGAGATGAGTTGTGAGCCAGTTGTTAGGAAGCATGTACGTAGTACTTTTATGGAAAATGCTGTTGTCTCTACAAGCCCTACTCCCGATGGAAACTCTACGATTGATGCCTATCATCAACTTTCTGGCGTTAAGTCACTGAAGAATAAGCCTCTGTCTAAGTTTATTGATGCGCAATGGCTACTTATTCAAAAAGCAGAGCAAGAGAAACTTCTTCAGGTCACCATAAAATTGCCTGAATTCGAGCAAAACAAATTACTTGCTAATGCAAGTGATTGCTATTTGAGTGAATGTGTTAGTAAACCAGCTCAACTTTGGAATGAGCAACGCAAACTGATATTGGAAGACTCTTTTTATAATTTTATACTTCCTTCTATGGAAAAGGAAGCACGGTCACTTTTGATGGCCAGAGCTAAGAATTGGCTTCTCATGGAGTATGGAAAGCAGTTGTGGAGCAAGGTTTCTGTGGCCCCTTATCAACGGAAGGGAAATTCTGTTGACATTGAGAATGAAGATGAACCAGAATTAAGAGTTATGGCCTGCTGTTGGGGACCCGGAAAGCCTGCCAATACGTTTGTGATGTTGGATTCTGCTGGAGAAGTTGTTGATATTATTTATGCTGGCTCAATTTGCATAAAATCTCAGGGTGTTGCTGAGCAGCAGCGCAAGAAAGCTGATCAAGAAAGACTTTTAAGATTCATGACTGAACACCAACCTCATGTTGTTTGCTTAGGAGCTGCCAATCTGTCATGCAAACAACTTAAGGATGATATTTACGAGGTATAGTCAACTTTTTCTGACGTTGAAGTAACTTTGGCAATTGTGTGGCTTAAAGATTTCCCTCTTTATTGTGATCTTTTTGCTATACTTCCTATACCGAACGCTTGTGCTCTTGGCTGCCTGCATTATATGTTCTATCTGTTAAATTTATGGTATTTCTACTTGTTTTCTTCTTTGTTTAGGTGGAACTTATCTACTTGTTGCAGCTGTTAGTTTTATGCATGAAATATCCTTTTTTCCTTTAGTTGTTGATGTGTTGTTCTAATTTACTAGGCTATGGTTATTTTGCTTATTTATTTTAGCTCACTGAGACTTTGCTTTGCTCTGGGAGGGCTGGTACCTTTTTTTCTTTTATTTTCTACGCATATGAATTATGTTAGAGGACACTCCTCTGTGAAGCACAGATAATTAATACCTATCTAAATTTTTGCAAAGTTTATTTTTTTTGCTGCTTCCATTTCATTGCACTTTGACTAGTAGCACAACTTTTGCATTTGTTATTTTAGTATAAGAATTTTTTATTATTTTGAGGCAGTATTTCTTAATTCTTAAATCTTTCGCGCAACCCTACTAAAGAAAAGTTTTGTTACTCTTTTTAATCATCTAAATTGTCTCTGTTGAGCACCAGGCTGCAGCTCATGAATAAAGTTCTATTTATTCTCTAAAGACTGCTCAATTTCCTGTTTCATGATTTAGTATGTTTTTGATGATGCGTTTCTATCCCACTTTTGTTAGCACTCGGCTCTTGCATTGTGCTAGTGTTTCTGAATTTTGTGCTAGCCCAAAAGAATATGCGTTTCTTGATTGTAATCGTTTCCATATTCTTTTGGTCTAGTCTTCGATGTCAGATATGCTATCTTTCTAATGCTGATCTCAAACCCTTAGGACCATGCTAGCCCTTTAGTGTGTTGTCGATTTGTTTTTGACACTTAATCTTCATCTTAGGCGCTTGTTTGCAGTTGCTGCTTGGAGCTGGTACAATCATTTTACTTGGGTTGTCTTCATTGTACCTTTTTTAGGATCTTATCCAATCCAGTTGTCTTTGGCCCTCTCTTCCAGATTTGGTTTTGCACTTTGTCCCCACATTTGTGCTTTCCTATGCCTTTCTTTTATAGCATCCCAAGGCGCTTATCATCATTCTTGAGAGTTTAACCCTTGTCTCCATTTTTGTTTCCTACAACAATTTTATCTCCCACGGCAATCATATCTCTCATCACCCACTTCAAACCTATTTCCTATGGCGATCCTGTCTTCCATGATGATCCTCTTCTCTTTCTCCACGACCATCTCATCTTTCGAATATCCTATCTCTCATCATGATCTCATCACCTTAGGTTTTGACAATGCCTGGCAAGTAACCAACCCGTAGTCCATTATTAATTTCTCATAGACTATCTTGTTTTAGTGTTAATTGGTTTGAATCATCAAATTTGAAAAGTTGTTATTAAACAACCCACAGCCTATATCTCTCAGCTCATCCTGCACCATACGATCTCGTGTTGCTTCTTCCTGTCACATTATGAGCTGATGTGGGATGATAGGGTTATCGAAGTTTTATATTTAAAGATGTCACCATATAAATTTAATCAAATGTATTTAAAATTTTTTTATAATTCTATAATATTTATTATTTTAATGTATTTTAATTATTAAGGATATTCTCCATGATTGTATTTTTCTTGTTGTTCTTGCTTTTTGATATATTTAAGTATGCCCGTACTAGTGCCATAGTTAATTCACTAATGATGTAGATTTTCAGCAACAATAAGCAATTATTCTCTACAAAATGTTTCAGGTTATTTTCAAAATAGTTGAAGATCATCCTAGAGATGTCAGCCAAGATATGAACATTAATATAGTATGGGGTGATGAATCCTTGCCACGACTGTTTGAGAATGCACGAGTTTCTTCGGATCAACTTACAGGACAACCAGGTAATGTCTTTTTCAGAATGCTTATTTATTTAAATTTAATTATCTTGAGTTTTTCTTTTTAGTGCTACAGAACTTTTCCTTTATGCAGGCATTGTAAAACGTGCTGTTGCGCTTGGACGTTACCTACAAAATCCACTGGCAATGGTTGCAACACTTTGTGGACCTGGTAAAGAAATATTGTCTTGGAAGCTTTGCCCTTTGGATGATTTCCTTGCCCCTGATGAGAAGTATGACATGGTTGAGCAAATAATGGTTGATGCAACCAATCAAGTAGGCGTTGATGTTAATTTAGCTTCAAGCCATGAATGGCTTTTTTCTCCCTTGCAGTTTGTTGCAGGTCTTGGACCACGAAAAGCTTCTTCTTTACAGAGAGCATTTGTAAGGGCTGGATCTATTTTCAATCGGAAAGAAATTCCAATGGGAAAGATCATCAGGAAAAAGGTTTTTATTAATGCTGTCGGTTTTCTAAGAGTTCGCCGCAGTGGGGCAGCGGCTGCTACTAGTCATATTATTGATTTGCTGGATGATACAAGAATTCATCCAGAGTCGTATGATTTGGCAAAGACTATGGCCAAGGATGTCTATTCGGAGGATGCTCCAGATGACATTAATGACATGGATGACGATGCTCTTGAAATGGCAATTGAACATGTCAGGGAAAAATCAGATATGCTTAAAGTCCTTGTAATTGAAGAATATGCAAAGAGCATTGCTGAGCGGTTTGGCACTGATAAGAAGGAAACTCTGGAAGATATAAAGAATGAACTGCTTCATGGATTTAAAGACTGGAGGCGCCCATTTAGTGAACCTAATGCAGATGAGGAATTTAGTATGCTATCTGGCGAAACTGACGATTCACTTTCCGATGGAAGAATTGTTGAAGTGAATGTTCGTTTTGTCCAGGACAATCGTATTGTTTGCTTTTTTGATTCTGGTCTCAAAGGTTTTATCTTTGCAGAAGAGTTCTCAGATGAAGGCTATGACCCTGAAAAGGTGAAAGCAGGTGATATACTAACATGCAAAATCAAGAGTGTTAATAAAAGTCGGTGTGCAGTTTATCTAACTTGTAAAGAAAGTGAACTGAAGAAAAGGCAGTATATTCCTCTCAACCAAGATCCATTCTATCTTGAAGATGATGTTACTTTACATAATGAGCAGGAGAAGGCTCGCAAGGAAAAGGAACTTGCAAAGAAGCGATTCAAGCCAAGAATGATCAGCCATCCTCGATTTCAAAATGTTACTGCTGATGAGGCAATAGGCGGAAGGGGGTTTTGTTTTTTTTTTTTTTTTTTTTTTTTTTGTAGTTTACTGTTTTCTTTTATACGATTATTATGTTTTGGTACTCCTCCTTTGTTTTTTTCATGTACCGAGGCATGATTTTCTTTCTATATTCCTTTTGGGACAGTTCCTTGCTAACAAAGATGCTGGAGAGAGCATAATTCGACCAAGCTCAAAAGGTCCATCGTATTTGACTTTGACACTGAAAATTTCAAATGGTGTTTATGCTCATAAAGACATAGTGGAAAGTGGGAAAGATCATAAAGATATTACGAGTTTGCTTCGCATTGGGAAAACATTGACTATTGACAAAGATACTTTTGAGGATCTTGATGAGGTTAGTCTACTTGTGTTTCTTACCACTCCTGTTTTTTACTATTGTCTATTGTACTAGAGTTAAAAGAATGACGAGTCTTTGCAGCTTTGTTTGATGTGCATCATGGAGTTTAGTAATAATTATTTGTAAACCAGTATAAGCTAATGTTTGATACCTTTATACGTCAGTTTCCATTGGAATACCCAAAATCATCATAAATTTACTCTTTTTAACAAACTTCTGTTCAACAACTTGAATAGTGGACTGTGTTTTTGCATATGAGATTTGTATGTTATTTATTGGGCTTGAATCTTTTAGTCACCTAACTAGCAGCTATGATGGTTGAGACCTTTGCATCTCGAACTTTTTCTCATTTATTGTTGCGGTATTGCTATATGGTGAATTGTTCGTTCTTATTTATGAATATAGGAGAAAGTAAGTTTCGTTGGGGAGGTTAGAACATTTTTATTGACCATACACTATTTATATTGGACATCCGCCAAGTTCCATCATTTATTTTATTTTAATTTACCGTTTAATTTTCTGACTTATGTACAGATGGGAAATATAGGGCTTGCTGATGAGATTTTGGGCAGTCACTTGGAACTATACCCTCACTCTTACGTTAACCTATGTACTTTTTGAACTGCTTAATATATTGCATACGTTCCCTTTCCATTGATATTTGCATTGCATTTTTCATTTCTCTGTTGGTTTGGTTTGAAGTTGAAATTTTGTGGTTTTACCAACAGAGAGTACTTATTGATGATAGACATGATGATTGACTGCAAAACGAAGTCATTTAATGGGTGCTGTTGATCTGTTGGAAAAAAAAAAATTATTTAAACTAAACATTCATGAAAATAGATCCCCGCTATTGGTTTAATGCCTCTGCGGAGCTGGTTTCAACTGAACTTTGGTAGAAATGGATTTAATGCAAGTTGTAATGGATAGAAGATATAATAGATGCGCTGCAAACATTTGTTATATTATTGCAAGCTGATTGTAGATGTAGCATCTAATTTGTTGATTAGTCAGTTAAAGACAGTTTAACATTTAATAGAAGTTACGTTACATTGTTGATTGTTAATTGCAATTTTTTTTAGTCTTTTAAATGATATTAAAGGCAGCTTAATTTTGTGGACATATTTTGTTAAAAGCCCCAAAACTTGGCATTCTTCATTTATCTCTAGTGTTCTCTAGCATTGAACTTGGACTACCTATATTCATTTTCCAATTCAATATTTCTTACGTTATACGTTCTTCAAATTCCAATAAACTTTCTCCACCAAGCTCTCAAAACCCCAAGCTTGCCGCCTGCTAAAACTCCCAACTAAAATATCGACACTATTTATTTCTACATCTCTCATTCCTATTTAAACAATGGAGACAGTAAGGATTAAGATATTGATAGTGATGATAGTAGAAGTCAGGTATGGAGAAAAAAAGCACTTGAAGAACTTAAATTCTAATCGTCTTATTATTAATGTTCATGATTTCTATCAACAATTTGTATCAGCAATTTGGATTGAAATCAAATTGAGAATGGCTAAAGTTCTTTTGACTAAATCTTAAATGACTAATTAAAATGCATGTGCATTAAATACATTTCTCTTTTGAAATTTATAATTATATATCAACTTAATAAGTATTGTTATTTCCAAATGTAGTGTTATCATTGAGAAATTACCATTAGACTAAACCCTATGGGCTCTAACCTGGGCTCAAGTTTCTTCCCTCTAATGATATTACCTCACAAATCTGTGAGGTCTCTGCTGCCATGTGGCTCTACAGCAGTACAAAGAAATCTTACGGGTTATCGAACTATTGTAATTATTCTATAGTTAATTTTATTTCAATTTTTCTCAAAAAATTTAGATATTCCCTAATAAAAGCTTTTAAGAATTGTATAAATTCTATACACATGTCGGAATAAAACTCTACAATTTTGCAACATTTGTCACTGTAGTAGAGCTTTAGGAAATGCAAAGAGATGGACAATCCATTGCAAAGCACTTTATTCTATTTGAAAGTTTGCGGCAAGAGATTTACCATTATCAACACATTCAAATGGAATTCAACGAAGATATAAATCTTCTTAAAATGTATATTGAAAAATATCTAATATATGATATTTTTGCTTGATTAAATGGTGAGTTTAATGCTATAAAAAGTCTAAATAATTGGAATGAGTGTTTAACATGACTAAACGAAGTGCTTTCTAATGAAGGGAGGAGGGTCATGATCATTAACAAGCCCATGGAGCGCTCAGCCTTAATGTCGAAGGTTATCGGCATCAAGAACTCGAACTCAAAGTCCACTTGTATTAAGGGCTACATGCCAACCAATTGCAGCAAAGATGATCAATAGAGAGAGTCTATGGTGCACATGTTGCAAAAATAGTTGACACAAAAATAAGAAATGTTGGAAATTTCATGGCAAACTACAAAACATAATTGGGCAATAGAAGGATTAACAAAACATGAAGATATTCATGATATAACACATGTAGGAGAAGACAGTACCAAAGAATCATTCATTGAGTTCCACAAAGAAATAAAAATCTGAAATATTATTATGATCACTGAAGAAAAGCCCATTTATAACAAGTACTTGTACTATAGTATTTCAGCTATTATCTTATGTATTCATACTTCTAAAGACTCAGATATGTCTATTTCTAGATCTTGGTTCATTTATTCAAGAGCTATGAGCCATATGAACAATTCTTCTCACAAATTTATTTCATCCTCCTTAACCTTGTAGTAATAATAAAATAAGTATTACCGATGACTCCTTTAACAATTATTTCCAATCAAGGAGGTTTTCTTATAGATAAATCCCTCGCACTTCAAAATTTCCTCCATGTATTATTTTCCAACTTGTTATTCATCTAAAAGATAATTAAAGTTTCTAAGTGTATTATTATGTTTTATATTTTATATCATGTCTTTTAGGAGCATGGCATGAGGAAGAGGATTGGATATACTTAAGAAAGGGATGGTCTCTGCCATCTTGAGAAATTTAATAATAAAAAAAACTTCACTCAACTTTCAATATGATCTGTTCTTTCAAACTCTAAATGTGATAACATAAGGTATGCCATCGTTCCATCAACAGTTTGGGTGTTATTCGCTCGTCATTTATTGTTCTCTAACAGATGCCTCCTTCATTATTTAAGGTTATCAATATTAAAAAACTTCATTGTGATGTTTGTGAGCTAACAAAACAATAAAACGCCCACCTTCTGATAAGTGACCTATGAACCCTTACTCTTTTTTCATTCATTTATAATAACATGGGAACCTTTATCTGCGCTTAACATCTTTGATACCCGGTGATTTTGTATTTTTATCAATGATTGTACTTGTTTGTCATCAATTTTTCTATTAAAGAAAAAGTGACGTGAGCACTGTTTTTCTCACTTATGTGAAAAAAATTTAATTTAGAGTTGAAATAAAATGTCAGATCTAAATATGCAAAAGATCATTTTAACAATTTTCTCACTTAAATACTTTTAAAAATGAATAATGCATGAGTTCTGTGTATCTACTTAAAAAACAAAAAAGTGATCGAACGAAAGAACGACCACCTACTTACTATCACAAATGTTTTTCTTCTTTGAAGGAACGTTCTAAAATAACATTCACGCAAAGCTATTAAATATCTGCTCACGTCATAAATTACTTATCTGCAAGGGTTTTAAGTTCAAAAGTCCTACACAAATCTTGATAACATTCTTTCCTCTCTTCAACATTGTTAATAATCTTGTAATCAAAATATTTTAAAGTATTGATACCAATATATATTTATAACTTGACCTGGGAGTAATTAAATGTGTTTTCATTAGCTATTTTGCGATATAAATTGAGTATAAATGCTACCAGCCCACAAGAAAAGTTTGTCATCTAATTTCACTTTAATGAAGAACAGTTCCTCTTTATTACTTGGCATCAGGAAGATTTATCGTTCAGAAATGTTAAAAGGTTTTTTTTGCTCTTGGGTTGCCTTTCCTGCTTGTCCTGGTAGGCAATTTTGTCTTATAATCAACAACTTCTACCCAAACCAGACCACTTTATACTCAACCACTGCCGTTTACTCGAGCACAATGCTTTAATCCCTCAGTTTATGCAAGTTTAATAGACTGAGTCAATCGTTATTACTATGTATGCTGAGAGAATTACTGAGCCTGAGACTGAAAAAGGTTTTAGTAATAAAAATACATGAACCTCCACTATTATCCTCTACACTTGTTTTGATATTATAAAAATTTTTCTTATAATCATCAGCTCTTCTTTATTAATTTGCTTATTATTTTTTCTATCCCAAAGAGAATCTCTAAGATATTAATAATGAGAATTGGATAATGAGATGAAGGAAGAAATTGGAGTTCACTATATATATATATATATATATATATATTCTGTGTGTGTGTGTGTGCGTCTTTGTGTGTGTGTGTGTGTGTGTGTGTGTGCGTCTTTGCGTGTGTGTGTGGTACATTTTAATGGAAATCGGTAAAGTTATTGAAGGGAAAAATCGATTGGATACAGATGAGTCTTACTGTAATGTAGAAGTCTAGTGGTTTATTAGAATGCTATGAATACTGGTTAGATGCTACAGGCTATAAAGAAATGTATGTGATAATTATTTTGAAACCTTTGCTCTGATTGCTAAAATGAATTTTGATTGCATTCTTTCATCACTAAAATCATAGATGACTTGGAAAATACAACAATTCATTGTTAATAATGCCGTCTTACATAGTGACATTGGAGGAGGATCTATTTTATAACCTATGTAACATTTTGGAGCGAAATTCAACAATTCCATGAATCTATAAGATGTGTGTTGATGGCGATAAATCAGGCTTGCATGTTTCTTTGCCATTTTTCCAGCAGAAGTCTGACTTCTAGAATCCTGATAAAAGAAATAATTCTTCTAAACATAGAATCAGTTAAGGGGAGATTGAAATTAAATAAAACCTGCAAAAATGTGGATATGACGACAAGATATAAAACAAATCTGTTAAAAGAGAAGAAGAAGCATTACCTAAAATACGAACCGATTTTTCTATGATACCAACCCTGGATCAACCTCGATTGATCCATAGGCAGCTGCAACGAGTGTTCCTTCATTGCCATTTGCTGTTAACCAGCGACCTATACCCTAGATCTTAACATAAAAGTCTGCATTCCATTTTTAATTTGCCTATAGAATGAAGATGGTGGGGATTATGCCTTGCATAAGGATACATGCACGCATCTTTATACTTTATTAAACTTCAAATTTGTTAAAAAAAAGGAAGAAGGAAAAAAAACTTCTTGAGTGCTTCCTGAGGCGAATTTGTATCTTTGTGATATGCATCCTTTCAAACTTCGAATTTATATCTTTCTATAGGCAAAATTTGGTACTCAGAGAAAAAATAATTCCTTAAGGTATGCCTGTTATATTCGGATACAATTGCTTAGGTCTTGGGTTTTAGATGCATAATTTCCGTAGGTTTATTTGTTATTAAAAATGTGGAAGGTGGGCTCCACTTTACTGCTTGTTTATGTTTCTTTAGAATGTTGATCGTTTTAATTTTGAACTACTTTTTCTTTGTTAATTGGATGAAACTTATTTGTTTTGAGAGTTTTTATGCATTTCATTGTATGGTTCTCTCTGCAGGTTATGGATAGATATATTGATCCTCTAGTAACTAATTTGAAAAATGTGCTTAGTTACCGAAAATTCCGGCGGGGAACAAAATCAGAAGTTGATGATCAATTAAGGAAAGAAAAGATGGAAAATCCAATGAGAATAGTTTATAGTTTTGGCATATCCCACGAGCATCCTGGGACTTTTGTCTTGTCCTATATTAGAAGCTCAAACCCACACCATGAGTATGTTGGGTTGTATCCCAAAGGTTTCAGGTTTAGGAAGAGGGATTTTGAGGATCTTGATAGGTTAGTGGCATTTTTTCAGAAAAATATTGATAAGCCGCCACCTGAATCTGGACCGTCAATACAGACTGTTGCTGCGAAGGTTCCAATGAAAAGCCCAGGTTGGGGTTACTCTAGCGATGGTATGTTTGGTTCCACAGGCAGCAATGATGGCTGGAGTAGTCAAACCCCAGACAGGGACAGTCCATCTACTCCAGGTTCAAGAGGTAAGTAAATTATCAGGCTATGATTTATTGTGTTTTATGTGACACTTATCTGCAGTGGTCAATATAAGAATATCATTTTTTGCAAAGATTTTTGCAGATTTTGTTGATTTATTTTATTCAAGTCTACACCCAGAAATTGAATTTTAGTTATCAACTGGATTATGCAATATGTTATTGCATGTTATTTAAAATTTTCTTGTAATTGTCTCTTTTCTAATCCAAGCAATTTACTTAGATGTGGCTTCTGACTTAGATTTTGATTTTTTTTATGAGTTAAGTTTTGATAAGTCACAGGTGTTGTTAATCAGTTCTACTGCAACTTCTCTCAACTCAAGTTGAACTATTGACGTCTCTTTCATTTCTCTGCTCGTGTGCTTAATTGTCTTTGTATCTTTAAAGTTGCATGCCTTGGCTATGAAATGAGCTTGCATAAAAATGTTCTCTGTATCTTCTTTTTCTCGACTTGTTTCGATGAGTAGATTGAGAGAGACTAATCAAAGTTCAGAACATTGAAAATCTCATGTGCCTCACCGCTTAAAGCATAAAGAGCAAAGCCATTTATTACTTTTATAGTGAGTCAGAGTTTTTATTTGCTTACACGGTGGCTTAATATTGGAAGCTTTCATATGATTATGCATCAAATATAATGATTGAGTGAGTAATTAGGTGAAGTAAAATAATAAGATATATCTGCCAAATAGATGGATGTAGAATAGTTGAATAATAGACGATGGAGAAATATAAAAGAAGATAAAGTATGAGGTATGTTATGGTAATCACTCTTATCTAGACCATGTGGGCTTCAAGCCTTCATCAGTAATCTGGTAAAGTAGAACGATAAGATATATCTGCCAAAGAACAAAAAAATTGTGATAGCATTTTTAACGTGATGAGAATTTAATTTATAACTCCAGTGTTATTAAGAAGGCGTGGGTACTGGAGAAAATTATTTTTAAATTGTAGATGTCTATTTAGGAAAGATTTGTCCTCCGTGTTTCAAAAGCTCCCCATTTGCTTTTGAAAGTTGCATCTTTTTTCTCCTGGCACTGCCCGTTGGCAAAATCAGCACCCATACATTTTTATGCAATTCATATTTTGTCTTTCATTGTTTTACTAACTTGCATCCATACCATTAAGAAATACCTCAAAAGAGGTGGTGGACCTGAAAGGGGGGAGGGGCCTATGGAGAGGTAGGGGCTAGGGCAGGAATCATGTGAGCGAGAGAAAAATTCTAGGTGCGTCAAATCAGGTGAGCGAATGAAAAATATTAGGTGCGTCAAATCAGGTTCAAGAGGTCTTTTGAACTCAAATATTAAATGGATCAAAATATCTAACTTAAACTTGACTGAACAAACCCGACTCACATTGAACTTGACTGAACAAACCCGACTCCCATAATACATTTGACATATCGTGTCGATTTCTATTAAATTCAAGTCAACATGAACCCAGATTTTTTAAGTTGGCATGTTGGGTCAGATTTTGACACCTTTAATATATAACAAAGAAAAAATGTTGTCCTTGGTAGCTTTGTTTTGTATGCGTTTGCTGTAATAAGTAGCTTTTTGGATATTTGATTCAGTGACTGAACTATCTCGTCAGATTTCTTTGGTTATGGATTGATGAAACTTAATTGTGCTCAAAGCTGATGGGCCTATAGATTCTGTCATGAACTAGTAGAAGATGCATTTATCAAACATCTAAATAACAAGAGGACTTCATACTACATAACAAGTCTTTTGTTGTTATTGCGCGGAATAGTATTTTTTTCCCTCCATGTAAACAACTTAATTTTGGCTGATATAGTTCAGATAGCTGGGTAGAAAATGAAGAAAATTGATCTTTGAAGCTCTTCTGCAGCTATTTTAATTATCATTTTGTTTTGGAACTTTCTGCTTCTTTGCCTTTAAATTAATGAAGGTGGTTCTTACATTTTATGTTTCCACTCCTTTTCGAAAAGGAGGGAGATCTGGTTTCAGGGGACGTGGCAACCGAGATGGCCATCCTAGTGGACTCCCACGGCCGGGCAGAGGCCGGGGTCGTGGAAGAGGAAACAACAATTTTGGAAGTGGAGGCCGGGGCTCCGATCATGGCAATTCTAAATGGGGTTCCAATTCCGATCATGGAAATTCCAATTGGCGTTCGAATTCTAATGATGATGATGGCTTAAGCAGCTTTCCTGGAGCCAAAATTCAAGATTCACCAGGCAGAGAGCGGAAATGCTAGTTTTGGTGGGGGTACCGGCAGCAGCTGGGGTGGGAGTGCTTCCGGCGATGGTGGTGGTTGGGGGGGTGCTCAGAACTCAGATTGGGGTGGTTCGAATAAACTGATTCCGCCTCAAGGTGGTGGAGGTGGGTGGTCTGGAGCCGGAGGTGGAAGTAGGTCAGCTGGTGGTTGGGACTAAGGAGTGCATTCATGGGTGTTCACCGGGGAAACCAAAACATACTTGGGAACTTACTTTGGAAGCAATCCTCATTTCAGGTGATAGCTGCTAATTTTATCAGTATTGTTTGCGGCAGTTGAGGTAGATGTTACAAGAAAACATCGGACAATTGTATGTGTCAAGCACGCTGTGTTTTTATTTTGGTCCACAGCTTCTTCCACTTCTATTTTGTCTAAAAGCTGTTCAACTGATCTGCGCTTGCCTCTGTTATTTTTGTTTTTAGATGTATTTGAATTAGACTTTGTTTATGTGATCAATTTGGAGGTGATTTTATTCTAGTTTTGGTGGCTCAAAATGAATGTGGAAGCTGTATAAAATTAATTGATATGATGGTTATATTTTTCATTTGGAGATAAATTGATTTTTCTGCATCTTAATGAATTGCAGTGGCATTTGTTCTTAATTTCTTATATTAGCATTAATAAGATTAATGAGAATGAGAACATCTCAGTCACAACTATCCAGGACTGATTTTTTATGTATCCAATACTTCTCCCGTGCATCATTATGAGACCTCAATGTTTTATGCAAATGATTTGGATAAGATAAATAGCTTATTTAATCATCCTTTTCTCTTTCCTCTAATCCCTCTATTATTTGGTAATTGTCTTATCAACTACTCTTGGCTTTCTTATTTAACTTCCATTCATTAATAGTTCATATTCTCGTTAAAAAAATTGTATAAGATTATGCTACTGCTACTGTTGCTTTTAAAGAAATCATTGAAAGAGATTGGGGACATGATATATAATATATATATGTAATTTTCAATAGTAGATTAATAATAGTTTATTGATATTCATTCCTTTGTTTAATATCTCTATTAATCTACAAATGTTTTATAAACTATTGCTAATTTTGTTCTTTAAATTACTTTTTATTATTAGTTTACTATGAAAAAGAATTAAGATGAGATATTATGCTCTCCTTTCTATTTTTTGTAAAGGTACCATTGAGAGGAGAAAATATTGCGTCTGTTGTTCATATGTAAGCTGCATCCGAATAACGGCTATTGATCGGGTATAGCTTACATCCGGACAATAGACGCAATATTTTTTTTTCCATTAAGAGTGACTAAAGACCTAAGTTATAATCTTTATTTACAATGGTAGAATGATAAGTTTATCACACACTGTTCTCTTTCGTCTAATCACTTTGTTATTCTACAATTGCATTATCAAGTATGGTTGGCTTTCTTGTTTAACTTATTTATTTTTTTGTTTCTATTTAGAAAGAAAAAGTTATAGATATTTTGATGTTGTTGTTGCACCTTTCAAAGCAATCACTAAAGTAGATTAGGGAGATAACAAATAATCTTTATTTGTATTAGTAGAATAACAATATCTTATTACTTGCACCCTTCTCCTTCATTTAATATTTACAAAAGTGTTGATGGATTTCTTCTTCAACTAACTTTTCATTGATGCTTTTTGACCCGATCACGTAAGGTCTCATGTAAGTGCACATATAATGTAAATAATATAATATAAATAAGTATAGGAAAATTAGGTGATAGAATGTAAAGTCAAAGGCACTAGTTTCACAAATCCTAATTTTATTCAAATAAATGAAAATTTTTAGAAGTGAATATTTGGTTTTTACATTTTAAGGAGTTTCAAATGAAAGATAAGCATTCTATGGATTCTTAGTTCATAAAATCAATACAATAAAATATGTTTAAATTGTGTAAATTGTAAATCAGGAGCAACAATCTTTTAGGCCTATGTCAACAGCAACAAAATCAATCATTTTAAAAATCCCAACTCATATCTATGCTCATAGGTATTGCAAAAATGGGATATGCACATTTCCACATTCATTGTGAAGCTTCAAGGAGAATATATCCATTTTCCTAAATATATGTTGTGAATCTCCTTATGCAAATAAGGACTTACAATATCTCAAACTCACACTAACTTTTAAACAATAGCACAACCGTTATTAATTGCTAAATAAAATTTGAATTTCACAAACGACTTACAAAAGTCTAAAACATTAAACCTATCTAACATTGATTTTATTACACTTAGATACCCGTAGGAATTAAAGAGTATAGCCAAGCATGGAGATACAATAAAAACAAATAAGAATAACAATATTAGGAGAAACAAGTGTAACTACAAGTATTGAAGCAAAAATAAACAAGTTAGAAGTGATAAAAACTAGACGAAATAAGGAATTCTCTAAGATCCTTGCTGAGTTGTGGCCTTGCTCCACTAAAACACAAGCAAACTCACACTCAACTTCTCTTATAATGAACATTCACTCTAGCAACTCAGACACTCTGAAATACACTTGAAAAATCCTCCTTTAGACTTTTTATATTCTCTTCTATAATAGTTTGCATCTAAATCTGTCCCCTCTATATTTATGGCATTGCAACGGTGACTCAGGGCTACGACACTCAAATCTAGCATTGTGGTGTTCTGGGGCAATGTTGTGGCGCTAGGTTCCTAGCGTCAATGAATTAGCTACAATCATATAAGGTTACGAACAAAAACAATAAATATATTGGCATCAATAAGTAAATAAGGCATGTCCCATGCAGTTTAAATATCCAAAGCAAAATGAAAAATAATAAACAAATAAAAATGTCCCATGCAATTGTTAAAAAAAAAAAATCTTTCAAATGTTCACACCATCATAAGAATATCATAGGTACGCATCAATGGTCATCCAGATGAAAAATTCTCTTCATGTCGAATCTTCCAGCAACTTCATAGAAAATAAATACATCAACAAGTCTTCAGAAATTTATGGAGTTGGATTCAGAATTTTCCGAACTTGCTGGAAAGAAGTTTCTTTAGACGTATTAGGGTCATTGTTGCGTGAAACCACCAAATGTGATATATGCCTTCTAAGGAAAATAGTTCACATTTTTTTCTTTTTTTTTTCATCCCGCGGATGCTGGAGGTCCAAGCTACTGCCTTTAGTGGAATCACCTGATTGGTCTGCTCTCAAATTTTCGAGAATGCCACCAAACGTCATCTCACTTGGGGCATATGCATTGTCACGACACCTCTAAACATACGATTCAACTTCTTCTCCAACTCAGGATCGATTCTAATATATTTAATTTTTTTAGCAGCAGACAACCTACAAATTCATGTAACATGTAGTTGAATTTAAAGACAAATTAAAAATTGACCAAAATAGGGGGCATTTCAATAATGCTCACCGCAAGTCTTTCTACCCACCGCTCCTTGAAAGTATCAATTGTTCGCTTCACTGGATCCCACCCCAAGCCCGTTGACCCTTCAATTCCTTTTATATTTTTCAATCATTCTTGAGCAAATCTCACTTATTTTTTAATTTCCTCGTATCATACTCTTTGTTTGTACTTTCTTTGAATTTTGTGACAATATTTTGCCACCCTTGTTAAAATATGTTGTAGGCCAATTTCCCATATTGACCTCTTTGAGGTAAAGGTCACAAAGTATTATTTTTATTTCTTTGTCCCACATTGCAGATGAATAAGCTTATTTGGTCTTAACTATTGTATGAAAAAAAAAAATTATTAACATAAATAGGAATGCCACAATATCGCAAATCAAATAAAAATCATAATATTGCAATTTCATCACCATGACCTTCACACCAACACCTCCACACACAGGCACATCAGGACACTAACACATCCTCCAGCACCATCTCTACTCACCAACACCTCCACACAAACACAAACACCTCCTCACGGTAACACACAAACACCATACATATACCAACACATCCACCAGACATCAAATCCTCCACACAGACACCCAAAACTCCACCAGACACCACAAAAGCACCACATCGCCAGCACCACCCCCTCTGCACAAATAGAACCACGCACCTCCACACCACCAGCACCACCTCTACAAAAACAGAACCATACAGACACCACCACCTCATCAAAGTAGCACATAGACACCAACTCATCCAATACACCACCACACCACCACCTCTTCACAGTAACACACAGACACCACACCATCATGGCATCACCTCATTCAATACACCACCACCTCTTCACAGTAACACATAGACACCAACTCATCCACTATACCATCACCTCCTCACAGCAACACACAGACAGCGCATCATCTTGACACAAACTCATCCACTACACCACTAACAACTCCGCTAGTCACCAAGCTTACTAATACATCAAGACATCCACTCATCCACCACACCACCACCTCCACACAATAACACACATACACCAACTCATCCACTACACTACCACCTCCTCATAGTAAAACAAAGACACCGCACCACCAGACACCACACAAATACTAACACAGACGCAACCACATCCCTCCGACATCAAAACCTCCACAAAAATATCATAACTTCCACCAAACACCACACAAACTCCACACCACCAGCACCACTTCCACACAAACAAAATCACACGCCTCCACACCACCATAAACATTATTATTAACAAATTTAGCAGCACATTTTATCTGCTTTACAAATTCTCACTGAAATAGCCATATTTATGTTAAATTCCCAACAAAAGTTTTACACATACACAACATCCGAAATTGCTATAAAAATCCAACACCAAATACAACATGAGATTCCCGCTGGAATTTAAATTAGCAATATGAAAATTATGCATCAAATTCTTACTTAAAGAGCAATATACAAATCCAGCATGAAATTCCCACTGAAATTTAAAATTCATGTTTTCAGCCCATATTCAACACATACACATCACCTGACATATTGCTATTAACAAATTCAATACCAAATTTCATACATACATATATACATACATATTCAAAACATACTTATGAGATATATATTTAAAATATAAAAAAAATAAGATACTAGATAAATAAATAAATTAAGATTTTATAACTTAAAAATAAGCAACATACAAAAATATATACATATATATACATATACATATTTGCATGCATAACAGTTAAATCTTTAATATCATATAAAAAAAATATTATCATTATTATTATAAAAAAAATTGAAATAAATATTATTACCATTGATTTATGACATCAAAATATTAAAAATGTGAAAAATAAATTTTAGTTTTAGGGTTGTATATTCATAATAATTTTGTGATGTGTAGGAAAAATTTCTTTACTTATCTTTAGGCCTCGTCTTTTCTTCGAGAATCTCCCTAATTCCGTCAGTACCATTTTCCTTCCAATTTCTCGTTCAACAATTTATATTTTCCTCCTAATTTCATCAGTACCCTTTTCCTCCACTTTTAAATATTAATTAATTAAATGAATTTCATTATCAATAAAAATATTTAACTCAAACTAAATAATAATATATTAATTTTTTAGTTCAATTTATTAAATTTTTGGTTTATTTCCATAACTTATATGTGAGTGCATTCTCTTTCTTTATGTATTCCAAATATAGATAAAGATTTAATAATAAATAATACTTAATGGGATAATAAAGGCAAATTTAATAATATATATTGTATGCAAATTATCTCCTAAAAATAGATATTGTAAGGCAACATTTATGCATCCACTTTTATCATCTTTTTATTATGCTTTATTTTTCTATTATCTTAATTAAGTATGCAATAAAATTAAATTTTATCTTCAATGCTATTAAAAGAAAGGGATAATAGCATACAAACCACCCCAAAACTTAATATTTACAAATCAACTGCCCTTTCATTGTATTTTCAAATCCTCGCACGAATATCAAAATTCATTGTAAAACCCCAACTCATTTTTTTTTTATTTTTATCAAATTCTTCATAATTTGATCCCGAAAAACATAAATACATCGATTTTGTAGTTGAAAAAAAAATAACTCAAGTGATTAATTTGAAAATATCAATTAAACTCATCTTAGAAAATATGAATAAATATTTCATTGATAAATTTTATATATTTTAATGAATAAAAACAAAATTCCACTTAAACTAAGTATAATAAAAAATAAACAATATCCTTTTTGTTTCTTTTCATTCTTTATCCAAATAAGCACATAAAACACATTTCAATTCAAGACATTTCATATTTTTTATAAACACAATTGATATTATTTTTATATCAATTAATTAATTCAAATTATTTACATCAAAAAAATTATAAGCACTAATCTTAAAAATAAAATTAATTTAAGTTTAGCCAAAAATAATAATTAAGAAAAAAAAAACTAAGAGATGATAATAATGCTCATCACGACATTTGGGAACAATGCGTGATGACACCAAAATTTCAAATTGCTAGTTTTTTTACTTCTCAGGGATTTAGCTACAACCTGAATTTACGTTAAATAGAATTTATCAAATCAAGTAAATCCAATACTATGCCACGGATATGAGCTCGCGAGCCACTGCGATTTACTAAATTCAAATTTATGTCGTAGAAGAGACGTAACATACAATGAAAAAACGGAATGCGAAAAAATTCGATTTAACGGACCGTTGGATTTGGATTTACGACAAAATTCTATTTAAATTATGCCACCAAACCACCAAAAAGTTGAAAAAAAAAAAGATATTTGTTTCAATAGTTTCATGCAATATCAACAAGTTAGTTAATATCTGACATCACATGTCCCTAAGAACATTATCATCAACATAAAACAAGCATTAAAATTTTCTAAATTTAGCATCATGTCAACACATATAACTTAAATTTGTTCTTCTTCCAGTGTCCTCCACAAAACTTCCGTGGAGAAGATAAGGAAGTCACACTAGAATCATAATCAACCACACAATTTAAATACTACAAATATGGGTTCTAGAAAAAATAAGACAAAATATAAGCATTAGCATCTACCTGCCTGAGAAAACAGATGAACAGATGGAAGATTCAAATACGAGAAATCAGCAATGGAACACAAATGGATTCAGCATCTGCTTCTCTGTTAGCCGAACGGATCATATCCAATGCACCATACTTTTCAAGCACCCGCATTCTGCATTCTTCAGCAGCACGCAGGCCTGTAGAATATGCAGCATGAACAGTTCCAGTAAATCTCATGCAGGTAGCTTCACCCGCAAAGAAGAGATTGTCCACCGGAATCCGCAATCTCTCAAACAGCTCCCGGGGCTTCCCAACTGCATCATGGCTATACGAGCCAAGCGAATTCTTATCCGTTCCCCAATGAGAAACCAAATAATTTACCTGTAAATAGTGAAATATACAAGGTTTAGTTTGCATATAGGAATATTTACATACATACCAATCAATTCCTACGTATTTTGCATATCCAACACCTGCACAGAAATAGGACTTGATCATATGAAGTAGCAAAAGTAGAGTGTCACGAACCGGCTCGGAAGCTTCAGGGAGGATCTCTTTGAGTTGAGCGTAGGCGAACTTGGCAGCAGATTCGTCGGACATCTTCTCGATATCGTGAGCGAGGCGGCCGGCCGGCATGTAAATGAGGACAGGATGACCCGTGGCCTTGTGGAGATTAAGAAAATAGCTGCAGCTGTATGCAGAGTTAGCGACGACTCCTAGGAATTCGACGTTGGGCCAAAAGATCGTGTCGAAATGGAGGGCGATTTTATTCTCTGTCCCAACAGCGATACCATTGATTGCTTCATGCTTCCAATCCGGAAGCCTTGGCTCGAACACAATGAGATTAGCTTTAAGAACCCCGAGAGGTACGGTGATGACAGTGGCATCCGCACAAAATGTTCTTCCATTTTCGGTGGTAACTTCCACATTGTTCTTACCTCGGACGATTTTTGAAACGCTTAAGTGATGTAAAAAAATTCAGTATTCAAGTCCAAGATTATTTAATTATTGGGGCATTTACATGCGCAGCACAAGATTCTTATGTATTTATATATCACACACCGAAACTTTCATATTTACACATAAAGAGCTCAAATTTTTAATATCACATCAAAAGTAGCACAAAGATTACTTTTTAAAAGTGATGATGCAGCTTTGCATGCATAGGTTTAAAGTATCAAAGTACCGTGCATGTAAATAAGAAAGTAGAGGTGTGAGATGTAAATACATAAGAACTGTGTGCTTAGTATGCAAATTTCCCTTCATTATTTAGGCTAAGAAAAGGAAAATAATAATAATGCCTACCTGTGATTAAGCTGTATGTCCAAACCTCTTGCCAAAGTGTTTATAACAGGGCAGTAACCTCGAACCATCAGACCATGCCCACCAGGAAGTAAGACTTCCTAAACAAAGGTACCATAAGCAATAAAAGAATAAAAATCATATGAAAACATGATTTTAATCTGAATTTTGTTATTAAACCACATGAAAAATAAATGTTGAAGTAAGATTATTACATATCTTTTATTTGATCATTTTGCAGATATACAAAGATGTTTACCTGATCCCAATGTTTCAGTGATATATTATCCGCATCAGAAGCAAACCAACCTTCCATTCGGCACAAATACCACTGCATTACCCGGTGAGCAAGCCCTTCTGGCCTGATTATTAATTAAAAAAATAGAAAAAAAAGGTTTCAAAGGATGAAAAATAGAAAAATAAATGCCAAACAGAGTTAATCAAGAGCAATTAAATCAAACTTCAGTTGTGGGCATCTCTCCATAACAATAGAAAGTGCCTGTGCAATGGACATATCCTCATTATATTCATCCCTCAGTTTGTTTGTCTGAAAAAAACAAAACCAAGTAAGTAAAAACTCAATAGATTTTATGGACCAACACATTAAACAACAGATTAAGTTAATATATAGCTCAGGAACATCCTACCTCCTCTAATATTCTCTCAAATAGCTCACCAACATTTTTGACAAGCTCCTGAGGGACTTGATTCCCATCAGTATCAAAAAGAGCGTAACTGTACATAGAATGATCATCAATAATTACCACATCAGTTCAAAACTTTTAAGAATTTAAGGGACATGCAAATAAATAGCACGGTTTAGGATTTACATGCAAGTTGAATATATAATTAGCTAAGGAGCTATTTGGTTTGATGAAAGTGTAAAAGAAATGCAATGAATTTGAAATACTTTAAAGTTGTTTGGTTTAGTGTAAAATATATGCAAAAGTTTATATTTTTGTGTATGCTTTAAGAAAAATAAATTCAACATAAAACATGTCCGGGGGCAGCTAATAGTTGGCAGTGACGGGCAGCAGTGGAGGGTGGAGGGTGGCGGGGGGAGGTGGGGGCAGCTGCCAGCAAGCAGGCTGTGGACGGTGACCGCGGTGGCTAACAAACAAGGAGCAGGAGGCCAACTGGTAGCGGGAGGCAAGTGGCAAGAAGCCGACAGGAGGCTGTCGGCATTAGGCAGCAGGAGACAGAAGGCAACGAACGGCAGCGGGCTGATGGAGGCAAACAATAGTAGGCAACAGCAACAGGTGGCCGGGAAGCGATGGGAGGTTATGGGCCGTGGTGGATTATGGTGGGCAGTGGGGGCGACGGTCATCGTTGAGTTGCGAGCGGGCGACAAAAAGCAGTGGGGGGCGGGCGGCGGCCAACGGCTAGCAGCCAGCAAGAGTGAGGCCGGCGATGAACGCCCGCAGGCACTCACAAATACAATGGGTTGCAGTTTAAAGTATATTTTTAAATTGTCTGAATCTGACAAATTTGAAAAACGCCAATTTTAAACTGTGCATCCTACCAATTGCCAGAATTTTAAAGACCCTATATGTGGTTTATTATACACCAAAAATGCAGGGAGCCAAACAACTCCTAAAAGTGTTTTGGAAAATCACCACCAAACAAAAACTACTAAAATTAACTTCACATTAGATAAAAACACTTAAACAAGCTCAAAACTAAAGCTCGAATACTGAAATGGATGTAGTACCTCTCAAGGTCATGATCAAATAACACAGAATTGTCATTGCTGGTGCGATAAAGGGGAAGTCCAAGTCTTCCAATCAACGGTGCCAATGGATTTTCGTTGCAGACACCATGTAACCTGATTTTAATGAACGCAAACCACGAGTTGGTTAAGAAACTACAAAAAAACTAGAAATGAGGTTGGAAAAGTGCAAGAGAAACCCTGAAGTGCATGGACGAGAGAGGATACCAGGATGCACCCATGTCAATGGGAAAACCAAAGGAGTAATCCGTGTGCACACGACCACCAATTCGATCCCTAGACTCCAAAACCACCACCTAAGAAAAAATATGCCGGATCAGAAAAAAAAAAACCATCCACATTAGAAAATAAAGATATGCAACAGCTCGTATCAATGTTATAGAAGAGCTCACGTCACCTGAAAAGAAGCATTTTTAAGAGCACGGGCGGCGGAAATGCCTGCAAATCCAGCACCAATGACGATAACTGAAGGAGGAGATGGTTGTCTACTCTTATTGTCTGAATGGCAAGAGTTTTCAAAGTAGGAATGGAGAAAAGTTACGCCCATAGTTAGTTTGAATCATTGAAGTGATTAATAAGTATGTATGTATAAATATGTATGTATGTATATATATGTATGTATGTATATATATGGACCCCTTTTTTTAGTTGCTTGAAACTATACGATTTTAATATTGAAAAAATAACTTTTTTATGCACATTGATAATCATATTATGAAATGATCATAAATGCCGAACTTAAAATGATCATTCATACCTTTATTTTCAGAAGCAAAAGTCACGAAAGAGATCAAGGTACCCTTCTTGAGGAATCCCTGACACTAACATGATACATTTGCACTCTTGCATGGCCTGAACGACCAACATAACTGTTCACTTCATGAAACAAATTAAGGATTCGACATGACCATGAAGGATACAATGGGAATATGTCCCAATGTTAATAGAAGTCCTATTATACATCTATTATGCTGATGCTAGGGTTCCTATGTGCCTAAGAAGGTCATGGTTACCCCCCGAAAGAAATTTTCCCGAGGAATAATGAAGGCAAGAAGGTCAAGATAAGTAACAATATACATGAGGAAGATGACTAAAGACATGCCATAACATATTATTGTAAAATTTCTCTAAAAATAATGATTGAATAGCAATTGTTGTCATCATGAAATTCTATGTTTCAATAAAGGTTGAAACACAAGAAAAATGTCAGGAACAGAGATAACAGAGCTACAACACCAAAGATGATAACTTGCTCTAAATTGACATAAAAATGATCACAATTTCATGATGAAAGGGTTAGTAGGTAGAGTAAGCTTGGTAGGTGGAAATTTTAAAACAAAATTTATGCAGATCAAAGAGCCCAAGGGCAAAAATTCAAAGAGTAAGTTCATTTCACATCCTCTGGAAATAAACACGGCCTTTCCAAGTGGTATGATAACCAAACAACATCCTACTTTCCCAATGTGTAGTGATAGATTTAAAAATAGAATCATTATTAGAGAGTGCATCTTTAAACCAAAAACTTGATGACACATAGCCTCCAATACAACACAAATAGTGTCGTCTTTGCCTGAAAAATAAAGGGTGAGCAAGTTTTCAATAGATTACATATGAAAAAGGACAAAAAAAAGTTTCCACTCATCAATATCTTAACATATTCCTCATATTTTCCATCTCCCTTCAAACAGTATAAGAGTATCATAACACAGATTTTGCTCGTAATTATCGAAAATAGAAGCTCCCACCCTTTTAAACAGAAAACCGACAACACCTAGATAGATCGCCATTTAATAATCTACTACACGAGAAAGAACATTTCAGAGAAACTTACTAACACTTTAAGAACCTTGAAATTACTTTTTATTCGCAAAAATAAAACCTTTTTAACACACGAAACATCAACAAGTCATACAAAAGTATTATAATTTGATCAAGTAGATTATTCTAGTCCATTCTAAGAAAATAATTCTACTTTAAAATACGTGTAAAAATAGCCATCATATAATAATATCTGAAAACTAATAAACATTAAAAAAAAGAAAGTAGGAACCCGATTCCCTGATCGAAAGTTCAGAATAATTTGGCATGGGGCCCTAGAACAACCAGCAAAAGTGCAAGTAATATTTAACAAAGCGATACCTTTCGTAGGAAAATGATTGCTACAGCGCTCCATAACTCACAGATCGGCAGTTCAGCTTCGACTGGCAACTCAAATTCGTCCTCGATATAGATGGAGCGAATTGAGGCGAGAAATGGAGAAGAAAAATCAGGAAACAGGTGGCGAAGTGGTTGGAATTCGAGTTCAGCCCTAGGTTGACGAACCAGCTCATGCGGAGGTTAAAGGAAGCCCTAGATCCGCTCAGGTGGGGAACGAAATGAAGGCCGGAGCGCGGCAAAATAGAGCTAGAGAGTATCAAGTAAGCCAATTGATCCCATGAATCCCGGAAAGAAGATATTTTTGACGGAGAAAGAGGGCAGGGAGGCGATCTTGAGCGCAGTAGAAGCGTAGAAGACAAAGAAGGACAGCCGCGTCACTCCTTTCTATCTCCGTCGCTCAGCGATTTATGATTTCGACTTTATTGGAATTTCTCTAAAAAAAAAAAAAGACTTTATTGGACTTCTGTCTAATCACCTGCGGTGAGTGTAAGATATCACTAACCATTGATAACGAATACTTGAGAAAATTTGCATACATATCACATAATTTTTATTTATTTATATATCTAACACCTTAAATTTGATATTTATATTTATAACATTTTGGTGGAAATATTAAAATTTAGGTGTTAGATATGTAAATACATAAGAATTGTGTGTTATGTATGTAAATGTCACTTTGCTGCATTTGCATTTATTTATTGTTACAAGATGCAAATTATAAAAAAATCATTTAACATAATGTATATGTAACATATATACACACATTTAAATCATCAATACACTAAAATTCAAAAAAAAAATAATAATAATAAATTATTTAGGATGAGGCTACAACTACTCTCATGTAAAAATCCTTATAATTTTTATTTTTATGAAAATAAAAAAAAACCTAATATTTTAAATAAATAATAATTTAGCCTTTTTTCTTAAACATAGTGGGATTTATTGTTATGTGATTGTGGAATGACTTATATTAGATTATATAATGAGTCGTATTAGTATTTTTAGGAAGGATAACATGAGTTGTTTATTAAGTTCAACTTTATATAAATTGAATTTAAAATTTATTTAATTTTAGGTTGAGTTTATTCAAAGTTTGAGGGAGAAAGGGCACCTAACGATTAAATAACAACCATTGAATCTTATTTGCGTAGTATAAATCATATCAATTGTTAATAAACATATATTATTTTGAGTTGAATCGATAGAGAGAAAGTCCAAGTTTTATAATTGGGTCACTCTAACACCACAAAAAATGAATCACTATGGTAGCCAGTAATTGAATTGTCGCAAGTCAGTCCCGATCCGATATTGTAGCTGTCTAAATCACCTCCTTCACATAATTTTAATAAATAAAGTGAGTGCTTTTATTTATCTTTTAGCGCCCCCAACCCATCGAGCCCTATTTAAATACGGAGTACGCACGCGATTTTGGGTGCATAGTCCCCCAAATAACTTGTTATTGAGATGTTATTGGAGTATAACCTCTCAATAACCCCTCAATAATCTATCATTACATTCCAGGGTTCCGCGCTCATAGTTTTGTCAGGTTATTAGGAGTATTAACCCCAATAACACTTACATAACCGTCTAATTCCTCCCGAATAACTTCTATTTGGATGCAGTTCTGAGTATGTACTCCGTACATAAATATTTTTATAACCTTCCCCTCCTCCCCTGTACTTTTATCTCTGTACTTAGTACCAATCCGCCCACCCACCCACATTAATTTGTTGCAAAACCTATTTTCATTTTCGCTCCTTTCTCCCTTTCTCGGCCATTTTAACTCCCTCAAACCAGAATCGATCGAAATGTATGTTTTACAATCTTCCTCTCTTCCCCTGCACTTTTATCTCCTCTGAGAGACCTCGACGAAGTCACAAATTCTCGCAACTTCTAGGCTTCCAAGTTGTCGTCTGTCGTAGCACTATAGTCTGCGTAGAGAGGAGATAATCATCATATTCAAAATTCTTCAAGAATGTTAGTATAAGTGAGATAGCCTCATAGTAAATACTTAAAATATATATATTGATATATTAAGTTTCAACAAAATTAATGAAGAGAAAGGTAGGATCCCATCAAACATTGCTTTGAGTAATCCATATGTATAACTTTTATCTTTGAGACTCTCAATTGACTTGATCAATAAATTGATTTTATTCATTATCAATCTATTAATTAATTACATGTTTTATAAACAAAATTGATAAATTTAGGGTTATAGAAATTTGATCAAATATTCAAACCTAAATCAAATACAATTCATTCCTATTAAACATTTAAATTTAAACAAATTATAATTTAAAGGAGAATAAAATCTTGATTGAAGAATTTAAACTTAAAATAATAGAAATTCGGGCATAATTTCAAATTTGCAGAGGTCTTTTTACCACATTATCTTTTTGTGCTAGTCGAACTTACATACTTTCTATTTTGCAGATGTCTTTTTACTGGTCGTCGGAACATCACCAGCAGATCTGGCAGATCATTGAGATTCGTGTTGGGCATATGCTCGGGGACATGTTTACTACATCCCGGAAGAAAGGGTCGTGGATTAGAGAGAAAGTCTGGTCTAGCTGAATCGAGCATGGGCTTCTCCGGAGTACTAGATGAAGAGACATACAAATCCGCAGAACCGGACGAAGGAGGGAGCTAGAGGGGCCGCACTTCATATTGGATGTTCAATCACTCACATAAAATACTACAAGAGACTAGTATGATTATCTCAAAATGCAGAAGCTTACAGATTTATGTATTTATGTAGCTTTTATATTTATTTGATCATGTATATAGGCTAAGAAGCTTGACCGAGAGTCATCTGCTGCAGAGTTGCATATCCTCACACATCAGTGTGTGGACACACAACAGTAGGTTTTCGAGCACTCTTGACATGTCAATTTAAGTTTAGAGGATATAATTTTCTATTTTATGAGGTTATTAATATGCCAATTAATATTTGATGCAAATTAATGTTTGAATTTTGTCTTGCAGGAGAAGTAAGAGCAGCTCCAGGAGAGAAAGAGGGAGATGGCCAGCGAGACATCACTATCTGCAAGCAGTGGTGGTAGCCAATCTACCACTGCTCAATCCGATTTTGAGTTGTGGACGCAGACAATAGAGAAAAAGAAGGGGAGAGTGTATAGCTTAGAAGCAAAGAAGATAACATTTGAGGTCCAGCTCTCTCGTGAATTTGTGGGTGGCCCCAGCAGCTCGCTATAGGTTCAGCATGAAGAGCTTGCCAGAGGTGTGATGATGATGAAAGAAGAGCTTCGACAAATGCGTGAAGGCCAACAAATTGTTGCAGCTAGCCTGGCATGCCTGCCAGAGAGTCTTGATTGCCAGGTCAAGCGACACATGAGTGTGATCGAGGAGGAGCAGGAGCAGGATGATGTTGACAATGAAGATTAGAATTTTTATTTTGTGTTTAATTTGTTCCCCCGCCCGATATATGGGTTGCTTGTAGATATATGGGTTGCTTGTATATATATATATATATGCACAAACTTTGATTCTCTTGTTTTGTGAACTTTGAACAGTTTAATCGGTTTATTTATCAAATTTGTTATCATTGTCAAAATATGTTGGAAATTTCCTATCATAGTATGTTACTTTTGGTTGTCATTTGCACGTGTGTGAAAATCTGATCGTTTTGTTGTTTTTTATTTGTTTCTTATAGATTTGCATCCGAATAGCATCGAAATATTCCAACGCTAAAACCTACAATCAGCATATGACACATGCCGCGACGCAATAGTGTCTACCTGCTTCGACGCTATTGCTCCATTACCCTAGCGTTGTTGGCAATTGCGACGTAAAATTTTTAGTAACAGATTTTGGCGGCGCTAATGAAAATCCGACACAAATGTCGACACAAAAACATTAGCGATCAAATTTTTTCGACATTAATCAAGATTAGTATCGAAAAAAGACCTGATTAGCATCGGAAATGTTTGATATTAATCTGCCAATTTCCATTAAATCTCAAAATTGAATTTCACCTATCCCTCTCATGACGACTAAACCCCCCTCTTTCTACAAATCCACCATCCTAAACTGAATTACTAAATCCAGGATTTAACACAAAACGCAACTTAAATGCATCAATTAGGTTTATGACAATAAGAACCTATGAGTGTAAATATCATATTTCCAGTGTTAGATATGTAAATACATACACATATAGTGGTATGTATGTAAATTAAAAAAATATATATAAAAATAAAATTAAATAGGTAACAAACGAAAAAGATACTTCCAAGTAATATATAACATTTCATTTGAGAAGAGTACGTAAACAATGTAATAGATAAAAAGTATAGAGAACAAACAAAGATACCCCAATCAATGTAAACAATAAAGACATTGTACATCGGCTTCATAAAACAATATTTAGAGAAATTTACATAATTATCACACCATTCTTATATATTTACATCTATGACCCTCAAAATTTATTGAACCTAAGACCTCTTAATTGAAAGACAACTCTAACCGCTAGAACGAGGTCGCAAGGTCGCGTGCATGTGACGTTAAAGATTTGAATGTTATAAATGTAAATATGAATATATAGGTGTTTGATTTGTATAAACGTAATTATTTTGTGGTATCCATGTAAATGAGACTAATAAATGTTGCCTCTTATTTGCATGGTTTGGTATTCTTGCATTAGGTTTTGATTTCGGTAAGAAAAATTGAATATAATGAATCACAAGCCAATTCCGAGCTGGAAAGGATCCTGAGAACTCATTTTTGAGCCGGTTAGCTTCAATTTTGAGCCTGATTGAGCTGATTCCTAGCTTTAAAAGATCCAAAAAAACTCAATTTGAGCTTGCCCATTCCGATTTCGAGCCAGCTAGGTTCGAAAGCTAATATAATGAGCCATGATCCGATTTTGGGCTATACTAAATCTATTTGAGCCAATCCGATTTTGAGCCGAGCAGACCCAAACTCGGCTCGAAATCTGATCGTTAACACCTCGAGCTATGACTGCTTTTGCTTAATCTCACATAATTTTTTATTAAATCAAAATCAAATTTAAAAATAAATTTGATCAATTCTTGTCAATAAGCTCAAATCGAATATTTAGTTTTTCAAATATTTAACTTCAAGAATGCAATGTCAAAGAGCTCTTCACTCAAATTGATTAAAATCTATAATTAAGTCTGTCACTTTATCTTAAGTAAAATAAGGTCATTTACATGCATACCATGTATTTACACATCTAACACTTAAATTTCGCTTTTACATGTATACCACCCAAACCTTTCATATCACATAAAAGTACTTCTTTAAACTTCAAAAAACTGAAATACTCCATCTCATGCATAAGCAAGTTGATATAGAGCTAAAAATTGAAGTTTTTATGTCATATGTAAATACATAACAATTGAATAACAAATGCATGTAAATCTTCCGGAAAAATAAAAATAGTATTAGATTTGTAACTATATATAT